TCAAAAAATTTCTTGCGTTCTTGGCTAAATGATGGGTAAAACAGTTTCAAAAAAAGTTAATATTTCATAGATAAAATTAGCGTTCAAAATGGGTCTCTAAAGGTATTCAGTTAACCAACTGACAAAGGAATGCCAATAGGGTGTGGTGGCCAAACGAGATGAGCCAAATATTAACCGGCGTAGAATTTTGCGCTGATTCCGAATCGGTTTTCCGTTTTTGCAACGCAACACTCTGTCAAAAGTTATAAACGCTCGAAGTTTTGTATGGAAGTTATAAGATGTCGTGGTGGCCGAGTGGCAGCGCGTTTGAGTACGAAGCAAGGACCCATTGGTATAAAGCTGGTTTTTGGTGTAAAACTTGAACCGGCTTGGTTTTTTGTATTGTGAGGAATTTGACGGCGCTGTTTTGAACGTTTATGGCGCTTTCTATCGAACGCTATTTTCTATCGTAGCGCTGTTTTCTATCGTAGCGCTGTTTTAACTACATCCCTAGAAATGTTAAAGCACTGTTTCTAGGTGCGAGGTCTGCCGTTTCTTCAGCTCTATTTGAAGGATGAGAGCGCTACTCCGACTCGATCACTCAAACATCGATTCGCGTGGGCTCTGGCGTTGTGGTCGGTTGTCGAGGGTTTGGTTGGAAAGCTGGGAAATCAGAAATTATTCACGATTCAATAGGTAACACGAAACTCGAGTACCTATGAGTCCTCGTCGGGAAACACGGCCGCAGCCGAAGCTTACATGTACTCGGCTATTGGGATCCCGTTTTATGCGGTGGTGAGGTGTTTAACTAAAGTTGGATCTCCTTTTAAATCATGATTAACTTAAATTAAATTTGTCAATTCATGCAACTTCAATTTCCAATTCTGCTTAGACAAACCACTTTTAGGTGTCGCGTAATCTCGAACAGGCAAAGATTGACAACATTCTCGGGAACAACGGCCAACTAATTAAGGTATAATTCTAACTATAATAGTCCGTCTAAATAGACTAGAATAGTGTTTTTTTTCTTAGACTGACGATAGTACACGAGGCCAATTAGCTAAAGAAACGGCTGCGCGTACCGGCGGCTTTTATGTGGATCAACACGGAAACGCCGAAAAAGCGGAGGATTTCACGGAAAGTAGGAGAAGATCAAGGGAAATGAAAGCAAAAGCAATGAAAGCAAAATTTTTCAGGTGGTGGCTATGGGCATGAGAGTGGGAACGTCTTTCACGAGGTTTTAGCGCAGTTGAGAGACGATCCCGAGATTCCGCGAAAAGCTGTTGATTACTTTGTGCACTGTGCTGGCACAGGTAGGTGTCTCAAGACAAAGGAGAGTTTTTATGTCAATGCAACGTGTTTCCACACGTTGCATTGAGTAGTTAGATTTTAAATACAGCATAAAATTCCAGTTTCTTCGTTCAAAATTCGTTCAGCGGTTTTCTTTATGTGCTCATTCTTCAAAATTTTTAAAAATTCCAGTTTTCTTTTTCTCAGATTATTCTAAAATACTCAAAATTGTTTAAAGTTAGCAAAAAGTAAACGAAAAACATAATGAAAGAAGCGGTTTGGTATTTGGTAGTTTGAGACTCGTTCACTCAGATAATGAAGTGAGCTGTCGCAAGACTTGGTACTCAACCTAATATTTTGGGTACTACCTAATCTTGAAGTCTCTTACCTAGTCCAGCTCTTGGACACCTCCTGAAAGCAGGGGATGCCCACTGCCCGCCACGCGGAGGTGGCTGGACGTCGAGCTGCGCCCTCCCCTGGCCTAATGCTCGACCCAGAGGGAAGAAGTGGGGGATGTGAAGGACATCCCCGCACATCTCCAATTGGCCATCATCTCCATCTTTGTGCGGTTGCGCAATCGCTCGCCGTCTGGCGCAGGGCGTTTACACAAGAGGGACCCCTTTCCTTCTTTTCCACTCGATCTGTTCCGGTCCGTTTTAACTGGCCGTGTCCGAAGGGGCGCACGATTTTGGCGTGTACCGTGTTGTCGCCCATTTGGGGCAATGTGTGGGGATACCGATCGCTGATTTGGAATGGAACCTTCTCGTTTGAACACTCGTCTTTTTGCTAATGAAAAACCTTCAAAACAAAGCTTTTCAGAAAATTTCAAAAGTCACTTGCAAGAGAAATGATGCTATCTAATGGGGCTATCTAATGAAAAAAGCGTATTTCATTTGGTAGCTTGAGACTTATTCAATTAGAAAATGAATTTGGGTGAAAAGCTTAGTACTAAACCGAATAAAGATTTAAATTGTTTGCTTTAATGGTGACAATAATTAAATGTGAAAGTCTAGAGAAAGAATTGATCATCAGCACACCAGAACATCAGAACATCAGAACAAACGCCATATCAAACTTATTAGGCGGTACGATCACCTCGGTAGGCCGTTATGTAGACCGCTACAATTTGCCAACAAAAGTCGTTTTGGTCGACACCGAGTTCTCGGTCTACTATGACTATGTGCTGAAGAACGGGTAAATTTGTGTTTGATGGTGGAGTTACAATTTTGAACAGCCACAAAATCGAGACAAGTCCAACACCGTCTACACCACCGGGAGTGCCCGGTGTCGGCTATCCGGCCGAAGCGGCACCAGCGATCTTCGGAAACACAACAAGGCAAACATTTAGACAAAATAAAGGGATTTTTTTTGAACTTAAACTATACTTAACTTCTAGATTTCGTATTGTTTGGCTGATTTAAATTCGTTGAAAAAGTTCTTATAGTTTGGCCTCCGCTGTGATTGATGAGGTCATGAAAATTCCCGACATTGCGACAGCAGCTGGGTTTCGTGAGTTTCAGTGGGTTTAAAAATTTGCTAAAAATGTTAATAAACTTTAAAAAATGGTTTTCAGACAATTAAACAATGGTTTTCAGCGCAAGAGGTCTTCGAGGTGGGCCGAGTTCGGCTATGAACATGTTGGGGGCTCTTGAAATCGCTCTCAAAAACGCGTAAGTGATTTCTGCAATCACAAGAGAATCACAACTCGTTAAGACTCTGTTAAGAGCGTTGCAATCACAAGAGAATGACGACTCTTGTTAAAAGCTTTTAGGAAATCACGACGAGAGATCTCAATAGTGACCTTGTTGAATGATCCGGCTGAATTCTATCAAAACGACTACTTCAACGACACTTGGATTAATACGGCTTTCGCGGACTGTGGAGGATTAAAAGCTTTGGGTTTGTTTTCAAAGTCTACTACCGGGTAAGTATTTTGCGTAAGTAGATCGTGTAAGTAGATCACATTTTTGTGTTGACTACTAAGCCACAGATACACTGCTCCAAATAGCTGCATAATGATGCTGAACCCCTGAATTTTGCAGAAACGATTTCTAAAAACGGAACGAAATGAAACGAAAAATTCAGCTGCGATGAACCCGATGGCTTTCGAAGTTATTGACAGTTATTGGCATGATCTTAGGAAGGATAAACTTCGATATTTAAGACGGAACTGCAAGGGTGGTGGCATAATGGTTTGGGCAGCGATTTCATCAACAGGACGAGTGAAGTTATGCTTTGTTTCAAAGAAGATGAATGAATCGGATTATCGGGTCGTCTTGCAACGTCGAATTTCGCGTTTTTGGCGCCGGAATCGAAACAAAAGTTTGATTTTTATGCTGGATGGCGCTCCGATTCACAGATGTCGTTGCACACAGTTGCAACAGGAATTGTTGCAACAAAAGATGGTTTTTTATGTTGGATGGTGCTCCGATTAACAGATGGGGTTGCACACAGGAATGGCTGCAACGCAAGAGAATCCCGCTTCTTTCCTGGCCGGTGTATTCTCTTGACTTGAATGTTATCGAAAACGTATGGGGATTTATGGTTTGCAAAATTTAAGACGGAAACCAGACGTATTGAAGCGTTAATAAGCTCAAGCCTGCCATTACCGATGCGTGGCCCCAGGTCGATCAGAAATTGATTGATAACCTCTACCACAGCTTCGATAATCGAGTTTTTCAGCTAATTTAGCGGAATGGAGCTGTTACTGATTATTGAATTAGAAATTCGCGCTCAATTATTATGTCAATTTCTATGCAACTTTGGTATTAATACACATTTTAGTACGCTAAACTGGCAACTTTTCTCTTTTAAAACTTTGGTTACTTTGGTAAACTTTGGTTAAAACTTTTTAGAAATCGTGTTCTGCATTTTTGCATTTCTGCAAAGGTCAGGAGTGCGGCTATCATTATTTGCGGCAGTATTCTTTCTTTTCTCTTAGGAAATCAGATTGATTCTCAGCAATGCTACATAAAAATTCCAGAGTTTTCCACATTTAGATTGTTGGAGGAGAGTGATCGCCTCCACACTTGATCGAGGCACTCCATTCATCGAGAATGGCATGAAAGATTGCAAGTCAAATTGAGAAAAGCCAGAAAATTTTTACCAATTAAAGTATGAATATTTTTGGGTATTCATGTTATATTTTTGGGTAAATACAAAGACAATAAAGACATACAAAGACAATACAAAGACAATACAAAGATAAAGACAAAAAACAAATCCACGACAAAAAAAACAAAAGACAATTTTTGTCGATCTTTTATCTTGGTTAGGAGACTCTTTGACAATCTCTAGTTGTTTCATTTTATCTCTTTTCTCTTATCTTTCTTTCTTTTATCTCTTTTCCAAGAGTTTGCCTACATGAATGAACTGAAAACATGGGATATGATATGTGCTTTACTTTGATACTTGTGTGCTTATGCGCTTTACTTTGATCACTTACAAATCTTTTAGGAATCGGCGATAACATCACGTGTTGAATCACGTTGTTCACAATAATGCCATCACGTGTTGAATCACGTGCCACTTTGTAAACAATTCCGCATTCATTCATTTATTGACTTTGCTTTACATAGAATGCTGATGAAGGACTTGAAAAAAAGCTAGACTTGAAGAAAAGAAATGCTGAACCTGACTTTGATTTGAAGTAAACAAAAAACAAGTAAATTCCGCAAATATTAGCACTTTTATTGTACATTAGTAAACTACTGAAGGAATTCTGAGAGTCAGATGATTATCAAGTTTTGTTTGTTATCAAGGCAATTGTTATTGAGGTTTGACTGTATTTCAGGAATCGTAACATATATAGGGTATCAAGGGAGAATTCACACAAATTTCTTTTAGATAATCATCTCCACAACCGGCCGCAGCTCTTGTGATTTGTCGCCAAACCATCTGTGAACCGTCGCTTTCCCGATTCCATAAAACGTCGGAGAACGCCAATGCGTTTGAAGCGAACGCTTGACAGAAGTCGCAATTTGTGTAGACATTTGAATGACTCGCAAAAGCCTTTTGCTCAATTTCAGCACAACTTGTAGCATTTAACTGGAAAGTTCTTTAAAGAAATAGGAAGCTATTTGGGTCAACTATTTGATTCAACCATTTGGGTCAACTGCTTGAGTTTAAAAATGTCTATCTAAATGCTATGTCTATCGTATCTATTAAAAAATAAGTCAGCATTTGTCTATCGCTTAAAACTTGGTTACAGTTACAATTGAGACATTGTAATGGGTATCAAACAAAACTTGAACAAACAACTTTATCTCACAAGAGCGCAACCAACCCAACTTTCCCAGAGAAAACACAAAATTAATACTAAAAGAAGAGGGAAATTACCGTAAAGTCGGCTTTTGTAGCCTAGCTCTCTAAATTTGGTTTCTTATCTCTCAAAGTTTGGTTCCTCATCTCTCTATTTCATTCAGCAAAATTGAGACGTTTTTGCGATTGAGACGTCGCAAAATAGCTTTTTCCCAATTTAGTCTTTTTGCACATTGTAATTTGCATTAAAACTTCATATATAAATAGCCTTTGAGCTATTTTGGTGAGAAAATTGTCACAATAACAAAAGAACAGACAGGCAGACAACTTTTTAAAGTCATGCTTTTGTAGAAACATACCAGAATGTTTGCTTTTAGATAATCGAGTAGCCCAGGGCGAACACAGTCAATAAAAGTCTGACCAATTGGATCAAATCGTTGATAATACTCTGAAAAATAATTTTAACTTACTTCAATTGTTTTTAACTTCAATTGTTTTATTTAAATTACCATAAAAGCGAGAGCAAAAGTGAAATCCATAATTTATTAGATAACCATTTGGACCACAATGAACCAGATTCTCCATACATTTATACTCATTACACCCGTCACATGTCGACGAATGAAAATTCAGAGAAAATGATGTGGATTTGGTCGAATTTTGATGAGGTCGAAACAGAATAAATGAAATAAATGAAATGGCTGACAGTGAAAGCACAGCGATAATAATAGCAATGGTTATATAATGGGGGGATCTCGTGTTGTGTGATTTGAGAAGAAGTGGACCAAGCTCATTATCCGAAACTCGGCTCATTTCACAAAAAGCAGATAAATAATAATGTTTGCTGTCGTGCGAATAATTTCTTTCAATATTCGGCAGTGTATCTTATCACCAAATGATCAGAAAGAGGGGGTGGGATACGGAAAAAAGAATTTTTGCTTTCTACAAGGTGGCCGCCTCGCCTCACAGTTTATCGCCTCGCAATTTTTGGGCTATACCTTGACTGTGGCTTCACGAACCGGTTTAATTCCATTTTAATATATTTAATACGAGTCATTTGAAACACTGAAAAACTAAAAAACTGAGAAAGTAAACTGAAATTGCTTGAAGCAAACTTATAAATAGCTGACAAAATGGCTAACGGGCTTCAAATAGGGCTAAATTAAGTTGTTGAATGAAATTTCGCTGCACTAATGGAGTTCAGCTTACAAAAACAAAAAACACAGATTATTCAACAAGTACAAATAAAAAACTTTTCCCTTTCTCTCTTTTCTTTTCCTCTCCTTTTCCGTCTCCTTTTCCCTCTCCTTTTGACGTTCGATTTACTCAGAACAGGTGAAACATTTAATGATTTAAATTCAAAAGTAGAGACTAAAGTTTTCAAGAAAATTTTCTTAAGCATATCGATTTAAGCGAAATGTTTCATCCAACTGCTGCCCAGAGATTTTTACTGAATTGTTTATATGAAGGTTTATGGTAAGTTGTTTGTTTGTTTGTAGCCAAAATGATTTAGTGTTATCACAACATTACTCTTCTTCTTTGCAATGTATTTCTTGATTAGACACAAAAGTCTAGCCACAAAAAGGCATCGACAGTACATGTTTTGTATAGCGGTGAGTATCATTGACTGAACTAGACAAAGACTGATACAGGTCTATGTCATGAGTTAGTCAAAACAATCCGTTAGACAAGTGGTTTATGTATATAGTAATAGCCAATAGCTAAGCTAAATACCTTTAATTCTAATAACAAAATAAATAAAAGCTAGAAGCTTTCAGATATCCGCACAACTGATGGATCTCACCGCAGCAATCAGTCAACCAATCTTCATGCCACCATTTGGGGCCTTTTTCCAGATTTCTCCAATCTATCTACCGTCTCCTCTTCCATTAATTGCATTTGTAAAGCAACTACCACTAAATATTTACAGTTATCTTTTAGGCAATCGATCTTTTATGGGTTGTTATTATTCTTTCAGCTTTGGAGCTTTCCGCCATATACAAAGGTAAATGAAAGAACTAATAGCCAGTATTGAAATGATTATTGGCCAGTGTTGAACTGATGACACAAATTATTGAGTTGTGTACTAACAAGGAAACCATATTGCTAAAGAATACATTGTTATGTTTTACAGTTGGTTCTCAATGATAGTTTGTATACAATCGAACCTCGCTAATAAATAATCAACGAGATCAAAAAGAATCGACTTATTAAAAAGATTATTTACTAGCGAGATTCAGAAAGCACGATATTGGCCCATGGGAACCAAAAAACCTAAACTCACTTCGTTATCGGGGCTTATTTACTAATAAGTTGCTTTTTAAAAATGAAGCTCTAAAAGAATTGAGATCTTCGTACTTATCCACTGACCAAAAGACATTTTAATCTATGTCAAAGAACATAAACCATACAAAAGAAATCGAAGCACTAATACATTTATTATCTACTGTAAAAGATTTTGCAGTTCAATTGTCCTCATTTGAATCAAGCAGCTGGGTGAAATTTCTTCACATCGCAATTGTAATGGTCAGCACAACTAGTTTACTTGCATTGCTTGGTGTTGTATTTTATGGTTGTTATTTTAAGAAAGTCTGTATGGGGAGTTACATCGATTGTCAGGTGAGCTGGTGAAATATTTGAAAGGCTGACGGTAAGTATTGGGTTGGTGAACTGAAAACTGCGGGACTTTGAACTAAAATTTATTCAACATAAAACCATGAATTCATTCCAAATAATTTCCATTATTATTGACGACTTCTGCCCATTTTACAGGCAATTTGCGGATTCCTCTTTCGTAGTAGGATTTTGGTTTGTGTGTGAGACAAGTGTGAGACTCAATAATGGAGGACTGGGTTTTTTTAAGAAAGTGCTCAAACTGTCACATATGACAATAGCCCGCAGTTTTCAATTCACCAACCCAATAGATTTAAAATAAATTTTGATTTGAGGTGATTTAAGGTATTAGGCTAGGTCAAACATGTTGAATTTGTGACTGAATTATTGTTACTATGTTACTATTGTTACAATTATTGTTACTAAACATAACTCTACATTAATCTAGGGTTATTTTAATGGGATCGACTCCAGTGATTTCGTTGATGAACAAGTAGTTCTCGTCTTTCAAAATGGACCCCTTGTTGTCACCATTTATTCTTTGGCTGCTATTATCTTCTTCATTCAAATTGTGACATGCTTATTTTTAAGCTATTTGGGTGTTAGTCAAACGATGCGAACACGTCATTTGGAACATCAAAATGAACATTCAAGAAAGACGGTTGAGATGCAGAATTACTTCTTGTTGATCTATTTATTACAGGTACTTTGATTTGTTTAGATTTGATTTCTAGCTGTCGCTATAGCTTTTTTACTGTAGCTTGAATACTATTGGGTGAGCAATTTAAACCCGATTTCAAAACACTAATTTATCGATTCAGTTTAATAAACCCTAACAAGGAATTGTTTTTATTTATCACCTAGTTTCGAAGTGGAACCTAGCCTATTTTGTAGCAAATTTTTGGCTGATTCCGGATATCTAAGTCGTTTTTGTGTAATGTTTCCAAATTTTCGACTTAAATCCGTTTGAAGTTTGTTTTTGTCAAAAAAGAAGCAATTTCTGCGGGTTGCGCTAATTATCTGACCGCGCGAATATAAAGCGATTTTGCGCCCTTTGATGTTGTCGTGGTCAATTGCATGTTGTCGTGGTCAATTGGTTAGTGCGCTAGGCTCTAAACTCTTTGAAGCCTAGCGAGCGAGTGGTTCGAGCCCGGGAAAAGTTTTGCTTTTTGTAAAAAGATTCTTGTTAACGTCATAAATGTGAAATCTTGCAAACAGTATAGCCATTTTCATGTAAACACTTTATGCCAGACATAAAAGTAAAACAGAAGCCATGAATGACAATGAGCGAGTTTCATTCGATACTCCATGATTGTTCAAATTTGATTTTTTTTGCTTTGTGACGATATAAATTTATGTCTTTTATGTCTTGTGCCTGTTATAACTGTAGTCAAACAATACTCTTCACTTTTCACCTTTTCATCGACGACGTTGTCATCAATGTCAAAGTTTTTTGGGATTTTAATGAGAGCTTCTTTAAGTTAATAGTTAAAATTAAAGATTTTTTATTTGTCTTTCGCACTTACACGGGTGGTCATATGTATTAGTACCCTCTTGCAAAAAATCTTCTCTCAACGATTGCCCCTCTTAAAAGGCAGCCAAATTCAAAGTGCTAAAAAGCATTTTTTTGCTAACAAGCTCTAGTCTCTAAAACCACAAAAAAATTGATTCGAAATGTTTATTATCTTTTTAAAAAATAGCAAGGACGGAAAAGACACCTCAAAAATGGTGGACAAAAGTATTGACACCTTGCAAAAACAACAGTAAATTTAATAGTCTATTGGCCCTCCTTTGGCTTGAATGACTTTTTCTATCCGTCTGGGCATCGAGTCGACCAAATTGTGCAAAACTGATGATCCAATTTGATTCCATACAAGACGTAGATAGAGCCAAAGCTCGCCTTGGGCGAAAAGTGTTTTTCCTTCAATTTCGCTTTCACAATCGACCATAGATTCTCGATAACGTTCAAATCTGGTGAAAAGGGAGGTGCTTTAATCAAAGAAACACCGTTAATCGCAAACCAGCCCGGAAATCGTACCCGTCCTCCATTCGAGAATCTTCCGACAGGTCCCATCATAAGTTTGCTTGTGTGAACTGGCGAGTTGTCCTGGTAGTAAAACCATCCTTGAGGTAATGTTTTGCTCGCAAATGGAAGTAAACGTTGCTCAAGTATTCCCATGTATCGCTGAGACTTCATGGTTGAATTGATCATCTCAAGTGGACCGACCACATTTCTTGTCATCGCTCCTGCAAGTTGACAGTTATACGAAGAAAACTATAGAAATTCATACCCTAGCACATAATATTCCGAGTTTCCTAATCCGAGGAGTCATACGTGGCTTCTTTATTGGTCGTCTAGCGTACAACTTTGCTTTGATGAGTCGCCTCCTCACGGTCCTTGCTGAGATATCTGTGCTGAATTGTGATTTATACAGGCGGCTTCCGTCGGTCGAGGTGAGACTTGGGTTCTTTTTGAATTCCCCTATGATCGATCGATTCTCGGCAGTTGTTGTTGATGAATGTCGACCAGATTTTGCACCTCTGTGTAGAGAACCGATAATCTTTGATTGTTTAAAAAGTCGTTTCACCGTGCTCTCGCTGCATCCAAATTGTTCAGCCAAATCTGCTGTTTTCATTCCATTTCTTCGACCTTCAACGATCTTTTCTTTGATTGGAGTCAGTAGATACGGCATCTAAAATTAAATATTTTAAAAAGTCATCAAAACATGAATGTAAACAAGAAAAAAATAAAGGAAAAGCTAAAGTGTCAATACTTTTGTCCACCATTTTTGAGGTGTCTTTTCCGTCCTTGCTATTTTTTAAAAGATAATAAACATTTCGAATCAATTTTTTTGTGGTTTTAGAGACTAGAGCTTGTTAGCAAAAAATGCTTTTTAGCACTTTGAATTTGGCTGCCTTTTAAGAGGGGCAATCGTTGAGAGAAGATTTTTTGCAAGAGGGTACTAATACATATGACCACCAGTGTAGATGTTCCTATTTGCGCAGATCACAACCTGCTTCCACATTTCTCTATCCCTTGCTATTGTCATCCAGTGTTTCCTATCTTGGTTGGTCCTGGTCCGGAGTCTTCGACTTGCTTGTACTGGTGCCACTCTAGCCATTCTTTTTCCGACCGTTGCTGCCACTCTTGTGCTCCACCTCATTGCTGGTCTTGGGCCTCTTCTGGATGGACCTCTTCTGGTCTCGTGGTAGCCACTCTGTGATCCGTATCGTCCATCTGTCGCCTGTTCTTCTGGCCACGTGGCCGGCCCATCTGAGTCCTCTTCTCTCGATCATTCCACTGGATCTCTGAGTCCCGAGAGCTGGCGCATATCCGTAATTGGGCCTTGGTCGAGCTGCGTCTTCCTATTGTGCCCGAGGAGGTTCCTATTAAAGATTTTTTAAAAAAGCAATTTAAAAGAAACTCGTATTTGAAACGGAGAACAATTAATTTTGCAAATCCAAAAAAAAACAAAAGAAAAAAGTAGAACGGCCGACTCGAACTAGAGAGTTGTTGTCTTGTATGCCAACCCACTGCCACTCGGCCATCACTGCTTATTAAAATCTCTAGGAGATCTTCTTATAAACTCCGTGTGTTGTTTTTAAAATCCCATACAAAACTTTGCATGCTTATAATTTTTGACAGAGTGCTCCATAGCAGAAACGGAAAGCAGATTCGGAATCGGCGTTGAATTCTGCGTCGAATAACTTGTGGCACATGTCTTCTGGCCACCACATCCAGTTGAAATCCATTGATCCAGTTGAAATTCCCTTGTGAATAACTTTTAACTTTACTCTACAGTGTTCAATTGAATCGGTAAGCTAATTAAATTGTAAAATCAGACTTATCTACACAATAATATTCAAATACTCATTTGTAATTTTAGATGTTCAACACATTTTTCACCTTTTTATTACCGTGCTTTATGCTGATCTTGGCAATGCTTAACATAAGTATTCTACCAGAGTTTGGTAAACAGTTTATTAATATTAACAATCTCCCTTTGTTTCAGTCAGTTCATCTTTTGTCCTATTCATGTATTTTCACTCGGCTTTCAACTCATTGATCCTCATATTTTCCACGAGAACCTACAGACAAGTGCTTTATGGATGGTGGTTCAAAGTGTACTCATTGATTTCAAGAAAAGCAAGCAGTAAGTATTTCCTGTTCCTAATTTTTCCCACTATTCTGTCTTTAATTTGTATATGTCGTAGCCGATTATGAATGAGTGGGTCTAGGAGCGTCCAACCATCAAGTATTTAGTATGATTCAACGCAGAATCATTAATAACTATGTTAAATTTTTGAAATTAGAAAGATTAGATAAAAAAAAATATGTGCGCCTCAAAGTAACCTCTTGGGGCCCCAAAGTTTCCTTTTGCAACAGTTTTTGTCTAATTTTTTCTTATTAATTACATAATTATTAATGATTCTGCGTTGAATGATACCAAATACTTGATGGTTGGACGCTCCTAGACCCACTCATTCATAATCGGCTGAAATTCATAATCGGCTACGGGGGTCCCGCCGATTTTGAATGAAACGTTGTAGCGCCGGTAATTTTTAACCTAAACTCACAAATTTGGTACCAATCGAGGCAGAATTGAATTCGCTACAGGATGATATAATATTGTCCTCATACATTAAAGGGTTGCTCTACTAGAAAGATTTGCCAAAAAATTTCATTCATAATCGGCTACGATATATAGATACTTGAATTAACATAAAAACTGCATCAATAGCTGTCTTCATGAGTACATTTAGACTTTTCTGATTATCCCACTATCTCTAGTTTGCATATAGATCCTATCACTAATTTGCATATAGATTAAAATAAGCATTTGTGTAAATTAGAGTTATAACTGTATCAATTCAGCTTCACGCTAAAGGCAAGCGATAGAAGATAGCAGAGTTAGGAAAAAGTCCAGAATTTCATCGCTACAAAGCTATTGTTTCACCAAAAAACTGTTCCAAGATCATAAATTTAAAATAAGCCATCAATTTAGCAAACGGGCAATCGATTAATAGAGTTTTCGTTGAGTCGACAAGCACGAATGGCCATCGAACGTCGAGATCATAAAACAATGAAGAAACTTGTTAAAACTTGATGTGGAACTAAAGTGAAAGACTTCACAATTTGTTCGACAGATGGAGAGGTTCTCTGTTCTTACAAAACACTTCAATACAATGATATTGTCCTCGTCGATGATGGGGGTTATGTGAAGGGGACGGAGATGGTCCAAGAGTTGGGAAATAATTGAAATAATGATGTATGGCATTTGTTATGAGAATAAAAGTTGACAAAAACGATAACTTAAACGAAATGTCATAATAAATAACATTAAACTTGACAACAACTGATCAGAATGTTATGTGAACATTGATTTTGATTGGATTTTGATATTGATTTAACAAACCCAGGACGAAGTCGAACTTACTATATAGTATTTTGAAGCTGAAATTCTGGGGAGTATTCTTTCACCTAAACCATCCATTTTGCACTGTTTATCAGGGCGTTTTTTGATCAAAATTATTTATTGAAAAAATTCAAACAAGCAAAGATGAATCTGCAAGGTATTCTCCATTTTTATCGATGACTTCTTCCCACCCTCGCCGCAAGTCCCTGATTCTATTTGTGAAAAATTGGGGATTTTTGGAGCCAAAATAGTTGTCGACCGCTTTTTTGACTTCATGCTCATCGAATCGGTAACGTATTCTCCATTTTTATCGATGACTTCTTCCCATCTTCTGTGCAGATTCCGGATTGCGGCTGCGATTGCGGTTGCATCCGGATTGCGGTTGCAGATTCAGTCTAAACGGTTTCTTCGAGGTAAAATAGGCGTGAAGCCTATTTATTAGGGTGGTGCAAAAGAAACTGCCGATGGGTATCAGCTCTTATTTATCAGAAACGAGTGATGCTAACGGTAGTATTTTTTTTATGGTTTGTTCGCTGCTATTTATTTCGACATTTGAATTTTTTGGTTGTTGTTTATTTTATTTAAAAATGCTTATATTTTTTATTTAGATCATGGTCGAGCAAAAGTTTGTGCTACGAGCAGCATTACTGTTTAACTTCAAAATTGGAAAGTCTGCTGCCGAATCGCATCGTTCTCTCTGTACTGCTTTCGGAGATGGCAGTTTGTCTCTCAGGCAGTGTCAGACTTGGTTTCAACGATTCCGAGAGGGAGACGAGGCTTTGGAAGATTACGAGCACGGTTCGTGCTCGTAATCTTCCAATCAAGTCGTGAGTACCCAAAATATTAGGTTGCGTACCAAGTCTTGCGACAGCTCACTTCATTATCTGAGTGAACGAGTCTCAAACTACCAAATACCAAACCGCTTCTTTCATTATGTTTTTCGTTTACTTTTTGCTAACTTTAAACAATTTTGAGTATTTTAGAATAATCTGAGAAAAAGAAAACTGGAATTTTTAAAAATTTTGAAGAATGAGCACATAAAGAAAACCGCTGAACGAATTTTGAACGAAGAAACTGGAATTTTATGCTGTATTTAAAATCTAACTACTCAATGCAACGTGTGGAAACACGTTGCATTGACATAAAAACTCTCCTTTGTCTTGAGACACCTACCTGTGCCAGCACAGTGCACAAAGTAATCAACAGCTTTTCGCGGAATCTCGGGATCGTCTCTCAACTGCGCTAAAACCTCGTGAAAGACGTTCCCACTCTCATGCCCATAGCCACCACCTGAAAAATTTTGCTTTCATTGCTTTTGCTTTCATTTCCCTTGATCTTCTCCTACTTTCCGTGAAATCCTCCGCTTTTTCGGCGTTTCCGTGTTGATCCACATAAAAGCCGCCGGTACGCGCAGCCGTTTCTTTAGCTAATTGGCCTCGTGTACTATCGTCAGTCTAAGAAAAAAAACACTATTCTAGTCTATTTAGACGGACTATTATAGTTAGAATTATACCTTAATTAGTTGGCCGTTGTTCCCGAGAATGTTGTCAATCTTTGCCTGTTCGAGATTACGCGACACCTAAAAGTGGTTTGTCTAAGCAGAATTGGAAATTGAAGTTGCATGAATTGACAAATTTAATTTAAGTTAATCATGATTTAAAAGGAGATCCAACTTTAGTTAAACACCTCACCACCGCATAAAACGGGATCCCAATAGCCGAGTACATGTAAGCTTCGGCTGCGGCCGTGTTTCCCGACGAGGACTCATAGGTACTCGAGTTTCGTGTTACCTATTGAATCGTGAATAATTTCTGATTTCCCAGCTTTCCAACCAAACCCTCGACAACCGACCACAACGCCAGAGCCCACGCGAATCGATGTTTGAGTGATCGAGTCGGAGTAGCGCTCTCATCCTTCAAATAGAGCTGAAGAAACGGCAGACCTCGCACCTAGAAACAGAGCTTTAACATTTCTAGGGATGTAGTTAAAACAGCGCCACGATAGAAAGAGCGCTACGATAGACTATAGCGCCACGATAGAAAACAGCGTTCGATAGAAAGCGCCATAAACGTACAAAACAGCGCCGTCAAATTTCTCACAATCCAAAAAACCAAGCCCGTTCAAGTTTTACACCAAAAACCAGTTTTATACCAATGGGTCCTTGCTTCGAACTCAAACGCGCTGCCACTCGGCCACCACGACATCTTTTCCCACTGGTAAGTCAACTTATAACTTCCATACAAAACTTCGAGCGTTTATAACTTTTGACAGAGTGTTGCGTTGCAAAAACGGAAAACCGATTCGGAATCAGCGCAAAATTCTACGCCGGTTAATATCTCGTTTGGCCACCACACCCTATTGGCATTTCTTTGTCTGTTGGTTAACTGAATATCTTTAGAGACCCATTTTAAACGCTAATTTTATCTATGAGATATTAACTTTTTTAAAAAACTGTTTCACCCATCATGTAGCCAAGAACGCAAGAAATTTTTTGATATAAAACTTGAACCGGTTTGTTTTTTTGGATTGTGAAGAATTGTTGGCGCTCGTATGAACGTTTTCTATTCGGCATTGTTTTAACTACATTCCCATTTATAAAATGTGAGATTAATCGCTTATTTTAGGCTCAAGACTTCAGCATTTCAATAAAGGACATTCTTAGAAATTCTACGACATTCTTAGCTTCTTAGATAGACTTTCTTAGATGTTCTTAGATATTCTTAGATATTCTACGACATTCTTAGCTTCTTAGATAGACTTTCTCAGAAATTCTTGGACATTCTACGACTATTCTACGATAAATATGGCTCTGACTCGATTAGTTAATTATCAAACGGGATATTTGATGAGCGGTGTGTGTCCAATTCTTTCCCTCTCCTCCCATAAACGGCCGATTGCCCAAGTTCTCCAGTCTTGTTCTTCTAAAAAAGTCTGACCTAACCGAAATTGAGGAAATTTATTGTTATCAAGTCGACACGAACACTACCTTTTTGTAGATGATCTTGATCACCTGGAGGGCTGCTCATGTTGTCGACGATGGTCCAACAAAAGGCACCAAGTAGAAAAAGCGACCATTGTACGCGCATTCGGCCAGTTTTGTACGATGTGTCTACGATTTCGATTTCTTATTCTGTTTTTATTTTTTCTGTCAATAAACTGGCAATAAATCAAAGAATATCTGATAAACTAGCACTGATGAACTTAAAATAAAGACAAAAGGTATCAATCAATATTAACGGGAACAAAAATCAAACTCAATTAAAATCTCCAGGTAATCAGATAAACTTTTAGCTTTTTTTTAGTTCTCGACTTGAGGCAATTGAGCAAAAATCTTAGCCTTTCAATCTTTGAAATGTTTGCTTGTTTGTCTTTGCTGGGAAAATTTATTTCTAAGCTGAAAAAGTAAACAAATGAAATCAAAAAGAAAAAGATATTGAAAAACTGAAAATTTTAAACTTAAAAAGTGCTTAATTTAATTTCATTTTGATTGAATATTCAATTTGATGGGGTTTTTCAAAGCTAGAACTTAATTGATAGCATTCAAATCCCGGCTCACATCGCTAACTGACGCAAACGAGTTGATGGAATTAAACGTTTTGATGGAATTAAACGTTTTGATGGAATTAAACGTTTTGATGGAATTAAACGTTTTGATGGAATTAAACTTCCCAAAACTAACCTCGGCTGTAGAACTGGTCAACCCAGTTCCGGCTCATTTTGACCATTATGGCGGGTTCTCCGTCGGTCGAAATGGGATCCCAAGTGCCCGTAAAAGGGTGCTCAAGGGGGCCGCTGTGAATTTTTGGATTCATCCCAAGGATTTCGGTCTGTAGGGGCAGCAAGAAATTCATGAAACAAAACGAGTAAATGGGCTCAAGCATTGGAAAATTCCAGAGATGATGTTGGCCTAAAATCAAAACCTAAAATAGCCGTTTGTAGCCTGAAATGGCCTAAAGTGAAGCTTTTTCGAAAAACAGAAGCTCTAGAAAATGAACAAACAAAAAGAGTTCTTTTTTGGTGGCTTATGCTAACCAGAAGCTACTTGAATCTCGGCTAAATTTACATCTTTTTACTCATCACTCATTTTTATTCAAAAACTCTTTTACAATGAGTCATTTGATACACTGAAAGACTAAAAAACTGACAAAGTAAACTGAAATTACTTGAAGCAAACTTAGTAAAGCTTAGAAAACTTAACAAACTTGTAAGCTGATAAAATGGCTAACGGGCCTCAAATAGGGTTAAATCAAATTGTTGAACGAAATTACACTGCACTAATGGAGTTCAGCTTGCATAAACAAAAAAATCAACGTCAAACACAGATTATTCAACAATTACGATAAAAAAATGTTTTCCCTTTCTCTCTTTTCTTTTCCTCTCCTTTTCTGTCTCCGTCTCCATCTCCTTTTGATGTTAGATTTACTAAGAACAGGTGAAACATTTAATGATTTAAATTCCAAGATAGAGACTAAGGTTTTCAAGAAAATTTTCTTAAACATATCGATTTACGTGAAATGTTTCATCCAACTGCTGCCCAGAGATTTTTACTGAATTGTTTATATGAAGGCTTGTGGTAAGTTGTTTGTTTTTTTGTAGCCAAAATGATTTAGTGTTATCACAACATTACTCTTCTTCTTTGCAATGTATTTCTTGATTAGACACAAAAGTCTAGCCACAAAAAGGCATCGACAGTACATGTTTTGTATAGCGGTGAGTATCAGTATTTTTGTTGACTGAACTAGACAAAGACACAAGGTCTATGTCATGAGTTAGTCAAAAAAATCCGTTAGACAAGTGGTTGATGTATATAGTAATAGCCAATAGCTAAGCTAAATCCCTTTAGTTCTAATAACAAAATAAATAAAAGATAAACGTTTTCAGATATCCGCACAACTGATGGATCTCACCGCAGCAATCAGTCAACCAATTTTCATGCCACCATTTGGGGCCTTTTTTCAGATTTCTCCAATCTATCTACCATCTCCTCTTCCATTAATTGCATTTGTAAAGCAACTACCACTAAACATTTATAGTTATCTTTTAGGCAATCGATCTTTTATGGGTTATTATTATTCTTTCAGCTTTGGAGCTTTCCGCCATATACAAAGGTGAATGAAAGAACTAATGACCAGTATTAAACTGATTATTAGCCAGTATTGAACTGATGACACAAATTATTGAGTTGCGTACTAACAAGGAAACCATATTGCTAAAGAATACATTGTTATGTTTTTATTTTTGATTTAAGAAGAAGTGATTCTATAAAGTTTGGTTGTATCGTTTCGGGTAGCTTTAGAACACCCTGTACAATTGGTTCTCAATAATAATTTGTATACAATCGAACCTCGTTAGTAAATAATCAACGAGATCAAAAAGAATCGATTTACTAAAAAGATTATTTACTAGCGAGGTTCAGAAAGCTCTATATTGGCTCATTGGGACCAAAAAACCTAAATTCACCTCGCCATCGGTTTATTTACTAATAAGTTGCGTTTTAAAAATGAAGCTCGAAAAGAATTAAGATCTTTGTACTTATCCACTGGTCAAAAGACATTTTAAACTATGTCAAAGAACATAAACCATACAAAAGAAATTGAAAAATTAATCATTCATTATCTACTGTAAAAGATTTTGCAGTTCAATTGTCCCCATTTGAATCCAAACGTTGGGTGAGATTTCTTCACATCCAAACTGTAATGGTCAGCACAACTAGTTTACTTGCCTTGCTTGGTGTTGTATTTTATGGTTGTTATTTTAAGAAAATCTGTATGGGGAGTTACATCGATTGTCAGGTGAGCTGGTGAAATATTTGAAAGGCTCACGGTAAGTAGATTTAAAGTAAACTTTTGATTTGAGATGATTTGTGGTGTTAGGCTAGGTCAAACATGTTGAATTTGTGATGGAATTATTGTTACTATGTTATTATTGTTACAATTATTGTTACTAAGCATAACTCTACATTAATCTAGGGTTATTTTAATGGTATCAACTCCAGTGATTTCGTTGATGAACAAGTAGTTCTCGTCTTTCAAAATGGACCCATCTTTGTCGCCACTTATTCTTTTTGTGCTATTATCTTCTTCATTAGAATTATGACATGCTTATTTTTAAGCTATTTGGGTATTAGCCAAACGATGCGAACACGTCATTTGAAAGATCAAAATGAACAGTCAAGAAGGACGGTCGAGATGCAGAATTACTTCTTGTTGATCTATTTATTACAGGTAACTTGATTTTTGTTTCTAGCTTTAGCTATAGCTTTTTTACTGTAGCTTGAATACTATTGGGTGAGCAATTTAAAACCGATTTCAAATTACTAATTTATCGATTCAGTTTAATAAACCCTAACTAGGAATTGTTGTTTATTTATCATCGAGTTTCGAAGTGGAACCTAGCCTATTTTGTAGCAAAGTTTTTCGCTGATTCCGAATATCTAAGGCGTTTTTGGGTAATGGATTCAAATTTTCGATTTAAATCCGTTTAAACTTGTGGCACATGTCTTTTGGCCACCACATCCAGTTGAAATCCATTGATCCAGTTAACATTTCCTTGTGAATAGCTTTTAACTTTACTCTAAAGTGTTCAATTGAATCGGTAAGCTAATTAAATTGGAAAATCAGACTTATATACACAATAATATTCAAATTATCATTTGTAATTTTAGATGTTCAACACATTCTTCACCTTTTTATTACCGTGCTTTATGCTGATCTTGGCATTGCTTAACATAAGTATTCTACCAGAGTTTGGTAAATAGTTTATTAATATTAACAATCCCATTTGTTTCAGTCAGTTCATCTTTTGTCCTATTCATGTATTTTCACTCGGCTTTCAACTCGTTGATCCTCATATTTTCCACGAGAACCTACAGACAAGTGCTTTATGGATGGTGGTTGAAAGTGTATTCATTGATTTCAGGAAAAGCAACCAGTGAGTGTTTCCTGTCCCTAATTTTTCCCACTATTCTGTCTTTAATTTGCATAGATACTTGAATTAACATAAAACTGCATCAATAGATGTCTTCATGAGTACATTTAGACTTTTCCTATTATCCCACTAGCGTATCTCTAGTTTGCATATAGATTAAAATAAGCATTTGTGTAAATTAGAGTTATAACTGTATCAATTCAGCTTCACGCTAAATGCAAGCGATAGAAGATAGCGGAGTTAGGAAAAAGCGCCAGAATTTCCTCGCTACAAAGCTATTGTGTTCACCAAAAAACTGTTCCAAGATCATAAATTTAAAATAAGCCATCAATTTAGCAAACTGGCAGTCGATTAATAGGGTTTTTGTTGAGGCGACAAGCACGAATGGCCATCGAACGACGAGATCATAAAACAATGAAGAAACTTGTTAAAGCTTTATGTGGAACTAAAGTGAAATACTTCACAATTTGTTCAACAGATGGAGAGGTTCTCTGTTCTTACAAAACACTTCAATACAATGACATTGTCCTCGTCGATGATGGGGGTTCTGTGAAAGGGACGGAGATGGGCCGAGAGTTGGCAAATAATTGAAACATTGATGTATGGCATTTGTTATGAGAATAAAAGCTTAACAAAAACGATAACTTAAACGAAATGACATAACAAATAACATTAAACTTGACAACTACTGATCAGAATGTTATGTGAACATTGATTTTGGTTTTGATTTAACAAACCCAGTCTGAAATAGAACTTACTATATAGTATTTTGAAGCTGAAATTCTGAAATTTTTGCACCTGATCAGAGCCGTTTATCAGGGCATCTTTTGATCAAAATTATTTATTAAAAAAAACTCAAAAAGGCAAAGATGAATCGGTAACGTATTCTCCATTTTTTTCGATGACTTCTTCCCATCTTCTGTACAGATTTCGGATTGCATCGTCCAATCAAAATGGTTCCTTAAAGGTAAAATAGGCATGGAGTCTATTGATGGTTTTGTTTGACGCCATTTCGCCCAAAACGCGACTTTTCAGAAATTGGTTTGCTAAAAATTGCTCAAACTATCGTACTTTTTGCTTCTTTTTACTTAAACTATTGTACTTTTGTGTGTGTGATGTGAGAGGCTCTATTAGAGGCAATCGATAATGAGATTCAACTGTCTTCTTGTTCTATGTGTTCTTTTCTGTGTTAACGCTTTCAAACGACATTTTTAAGTGTTTTGTGTGTTATTTTCGAATTTTTATAAGCACAGTATACTCATATGACAAAAAGTATATCATTTCCTTCTGTCCTTTTTACTTGTCGGCAATGTGTCATCGAAAATTTTCCCCAAATATACGACCGATTTTGCCCTGTCAATGGTAAAATTCTCAATGTTAAGTGCTTCCCCAGTTCCGCCTTCAGTATTCAAATATTTTCCCTTCTTTTCGTTGAATTTTAGACCGAATTCAGCAAGCCTACGTGCCCAGTTCGTGCACTGAAACTCCAGGCCTTCTCGTGTCTCATCGGCCAACAAAATATCGTCCGAATAAAGAATAGTCCAGGGGAATGGTCGTTGAAGATCTCGTGTAATTGCATCAACCACAAGAACCAAGAGAAAATTCGATAAAGGTGATCCCTGAGGAAAACCGGTTTCAATTGGAAACGAATCACTGAGCTGGTCCCTCGAAAAAACTTGCGCGCTTTGATCAACGAGCATCAGTTTGAGGAAATCGATGTAATTCTCAGGCACTGAATGTTTTCTCAGTGCCCACCAAGCGCATTTTGGTGTGACACTGTCGTTCGCGTTTTTGATGTCCAAAAAAGGCCATGTGGATTGGAGAAGAGGAGGCGAGTAGAGAGCGCAAGCCTCGATGTGCCACCTTTACACCACGATTTTTTTTATGTCCACACTGATTTTCCGTTGTCCCGATGCCGAGTGCTCTCAACTTCCTCTCGAAAATCTTCTCAAAAAGTTTTCTAGTGTGCGATAAGTGTTGAATCGGTCGATACATAGCGCAATCATTTGTTTCACCGATTCCTTTGTATCTTGGCATTATAAATGCCCATTTCCACTGAGTCGGAATTTTTCGGCTCTCAAGTATTGCAATGAAGAAATCGGTTAGAAATTTGATTGCCCTGGGGAAGAGCTTCCAGAAATCGATGGGAATATCGTCAACACCTGCCTCTTTTCCAGTTTTCATTTGTTTCAGTGAAAACTCAACGTCTTCTTCTTCAATTTTCAACTCCAAATTCTCAACTGGTGCTAGTTCTGGCAGTTGCAAAGTTGGAGTTTTTGCAGAAAACAACTTTTCAAAGTGACTTTTCCATTCATTGAGAGTTGGAACATTTTTGAACTTATCGTTGTTCAACTTTTCCTCTCTATTCCCTAAATTTTTGCGAGCTTTTCGTTGAATTGCCTGCACTAAATCTCGCCAAGTCTCATCGATATTTCGAATCTCAGGTAAAGTGATCGAGTCAATCCAATTGTGGCTCTCCTCCAACGATTCCCATTGAATTCGGGAATCAGGTGCTTCATCTCTAAAAATACATGTTTGTTTGGGGAGTGGGACAAATGCGACCTTTTTTTTGCGCACCCGGACATTTGCGCACCTTTTTTTCCGCACTTAGCCCATTAGCGCACCTTTTTTCGCGTTTTAAAAAAGCTCTTAAAGCTAATATTAACCAATTTCTATTCCAAAAGTTGTTTTTCTAGGTAATTTTAGGGCGTAGAATCGAAATTTTGACATATCAGAGCTTGTGGAAGCGAACGGACGGAGTTATACAAAGAGAGTTATACAAAATCAACAATTTTCTGTAATTTGACCTAGCCGTTTTGTCTTTCAAATTGGTTCCGCACGCTCTGTTATGTCAAAATTTGAATTTGAAACCCTCAAATTACCTAGAAAAACAACTTTTGGAATAGAAATTGGTTAATATTAGCTTTTAGAGCTTTTTTAAAACGCGAAAAAAGGTGCGCTAATGAGCTAAGTGCGGAAAAAAAAAGGTGCGCAAATATCCGGGTGCGCAAAAAAAGGTCACATTAGTCCCACTCCCGTTTGTTTGACAAGTTTTATCGTTTAACCTGAAAATAACTCCGTGTTTTTAAATAGTTTAAATAATAATACAGTCGACTCTCTCTATAACGGAACTATATAACGGAAAACTCTATATTGTCAGCTCCGAGACAAACTGATATTTTAGTTACTATTATTATTATTGAATGATTGGTCTAATCTTATGTAAATGTGTTCTCCCCTGTGTTTATCCCTTTCATTGCCGAGAAGCGGCGGTCCTTGGGATTGCCTAGGAGGACAAGTGAGGCTCTCACTTGGAGTCCCCCTTCCCCTTTCACTCATTTGTAATCTATTCGTCTTATTGTACTACTGTAAATAAAGATACAGATCTTCCGGGTCTATGCAACTGGTCTCTACTAACGGCACTCTATATGACGGAAAGATCTATATAACGGAAAGATCTATATAACGGAAAGCTCTATATAACGGAAACATTTTTTGGTCCCTTTCATTCCGTTATGGAGAGTCGACTGCATTAATTTTAGCCGATTTTATGTAAATAACATTTCGTTTTTTTCGATTTGAGTCATTAGAGAGAGCTGAAATTGCTAAAAGTCGAAAGAAAATTGATTCAGAAAGAAAATACAAACTTCATCGTCGGCATTCTTGAGACAAATCAACGATTCCTCTCGGAATTAACCGAAAATTTAAAGTTTTCCAACAGTCAACAGCAGTAGCTAAGTGATTGCCAATAGCACTCTAAATTTTGATAATGTATGAAGTAAAAAAGATGAGAAAAGAAAAGGAACTTTTATGAGAAAAGAAAAATGAGCTTTTATGTCAGAAAAAGAAAAAAAGAACGAAAGAAACGAGACGATGCCACAAGAATCGATTTGCGTTGCTAGGATTGAAAATGAGAACAAATTTGACAAAACACAATCATTAGTTCGAGTATTGCCAACCAATAACCGTATTTTCTTCATTAGAATTGCAGTCTTTAATAGAGCTGCAGTCCGGAAGGGAATTTTAAACTATTGCATCATTGAAAAATTGAATTTATAGTGCAAATATGGTATTTTTAAGCCCATTTGGGGCATCTAATGGCTTGAAATTGTTGAATTTTATACAAATTGTTGAGGATTATTGTTAAATATTGTTGAATTTTATACAAATTGTTGAATGTTGTTGTGAAATATTGTTGAATTTCATGCAAATTCATACAAATTCAACAATTTCAACACTATAAACTCAATTTGTATGTAATTCGAATAATTATAGCAAGACAAATTTCAAAATGATACATCTATTATGCTGATTTGTTCATAAATACTATTAGAGAAAATACGGTGTTCGAAAAAGAATCGAAAAAAGAACCGATGGACTGAAATTTGAGAGTTTGGATCGAAAGAAAAATCGAAAAAGGGACAATGACTCATCGCGTAAGCATTGCACAACACCCACTTTTGTGACCTTTTTCTTTTTTACCAGAGATCAACCAGAGAAAACCAGAGAAAGAGAAAACGAGAGAAAACGAGAGATTACCAGAGAAACCAGAGAAAAAAAGAGAGAAAACGTTGATGAAACTCAGAATTTTTTTATTTGAAGAAACCTGAACTTGAAATATCGAGTAGTGAAAAGCTTTATAATGCACAGAAATAAATAACACAAAAAAAAGAAAACGAGCACAGAAGTGCAGATCTTTTTGGGATGCTAGAATAATCAAAGTGTAAAAAAATGCTTGATTAGAATGAAAATGATACTTACCTGAGAATGATGGTTAGTAATAAGATCTCCTGGAATGATTCTCGTCCATGGATGGGGATCAGCCAGTCCTCCATAATCCATTTTTGATATTAGGTACATGCATAAGAAATGCGGATTTCAACATTTTCATAAATTTTGGATTAAGCATTCAGCTTTTGGATTAAGCAAAGCAAAGCTTTTGGACTTTCCAAAAACAGTTTTTATAGGAGCCTCATCGTACCTCAATTTGAAAGTTCGTTACAAAGTTAGTGCTTTACAAAGTTAGTGCTAGGAAATGCTTTAGTTAGCCAGTAGTCGATTTTATTTTTTAGAATGCTAGAAAAAGTAAATTGTAGCAATAAGAAGAGGTGCACTTTTTCAGAAAACCCTGTTCCCAGTTTTGAGCAACTATTAGGTAAATGTATAAGAAATGCGGATTTCAACATTTTCGGATTTCGGAAATACGGATTTCAACATTAAATTTCCAACGATAGAAACCTGATATCGATGAATGTTATAAACTATTTGAAAGTTGTAAATGAAAGTTCTAAATCTCCTCCACAGAATAGGCTAAAACGTGTTTCAATTGATCGAACGATTGAAGAAATTTCGAGGGCGAAATGCGAGTGACCAAAAAAGGAATCGAGTCACTTTAGGGACAAGTTTAGTGTGGTCAAAACAGAGTTAGCTTCGCAAAATTGAAGATTTAAAAAAAAGGATAACTACCGTAAATACTGTAATAGTATCCCACCCCCATAATGATGGTGTCGAGTGTTGCGTAGCCTAGCTTTGAACGAGATTTTCTCGACACTGGTTTAAGCTACAATGCGCGCTTAGGTATCAAAAAATAGCCCTGAATTTCAGCTATTTTTTGATACCAAAGATGCATTTTTTGAAAGTACGGGCGCTTCGAAAAAATGAAATACTAAAAAACTTTTGCGACTACGCGACTGTACGAGGGGGGTGGGTACTATTACAGTATTTACGGTATATATCAATTCATTAAAAAGTCTAACGGAAATGCATTTACAGAACTTTATTTTGACCACACTAAACTTGTCCCTAAAGTGACTCGATTCCTTTTTTGGTCACTCGCATTTCGCCCTCGAAACTGATTCTGATTCTTACTGACTCTCTGATTTCCACTCAGAAAGCTTTTAAAGCTCTTTTTAAAGCTTTTAAAATGCTAACAAGCTAGAAAAAAAGATCTGAAAACCCCTTATCTTCAAATATTTCATTGATTTTTAGAAATGAGAATCCATGGGAGGCCATTCTTTGCTTCTAGAAGCTCAAAGAAAGGAAAAAGAAGAAAAAGACGCTCAAAAGGGCTCTTCATTATCAAATCAACCGTGAACACTTTGAAATGATTTAAAAAACACTGTATTTGTTGTTATTGTTAAATTAGATTTTGCTATCTTCTTAAAATCTTATTTTTCCGCCACCAGCTGAAAATTCTTTCAAATAAACTTTTGTCTGTAGCAATGAGTTCAGAAAACACCGATCAAAAGTTGTAGTCAGTGTAAAGTTCAAAATTTTCAAAAGCTTTCAATTACCAGCAGCGTAATGTGAAAGCAAGGTAAAGACAGACAATTAATAAACTGAAATTCGTTTTTTTTAACTTTCAAAGACGCCTAATCACTCAAATAGTGAGTGCTCTATAATTCTCTGAATAAGGATTTTCTGAGAATACTTTTTCACTGTAATTAACAGGTAATTTTTGAGCGATTCAGTGATGTTCATGCTTTTTCATAATGTCGTTTTTAAATAGTTTAAATAATAATACAGTCGACTCTCTCTATAACGGGACTATATAACGGAAAACTTTATATAACGGAATGGAATTTTGGTCCCAGCCGACGCTAAACTATATAAAACGGCACTCTATATAACGGAAACGTTTTTTGATCCCTTTCATTCCGTTATAGAGAGAGTCGACTGTATATTATTATATGTTTTTTATTATATTATCTCAAGCTCACCAACTTTCAGCTATCACCTCTAGCAAAACCAGTATTAATAAAGCCAACCAAGCAAGGTAAACACAGACAATTAATAAACTGAGATTCGTTTTTTTAACCTTCAAAGACGCCTAATCACTCAAATAGTGGTGGCCTATAATTGTCTGAATAAGGATTTTCTGAGAATCCTTTTCTTTTCTCTTTTCACTGTAATTAACAGGTAATTTTTGAGCGATTCAGTGATTTTCATGTTCAGTTTTTTCATAATCTTTTACATACGAAACTTAAACAATTAAAGTTTCATGTTCTTAAAATATATAATTTTTAATTGTAAGCAATAAGCAGTTATAAAGCTTTTGTTTATAAGCAGTTCATTCTATTTTTTGATTTACGCACTTGCTCAAATGTTGTTGTTCAGAAGATTCAAAAAAACGTTTAAATCAAGTAGCTTTATTACAAATTTATAGCTTTTTACATGAAATTAATAATATTTTGCTATATTTTATTGGATTGAGGAAAAAGTTCTGACTCAGCTGCGAAAAATTCAATTTTTATGTATTTTTTTGCTAGTCTTTTGTACGTATAGTGTTGTGCCAAGGTGGATCTTTGTATTCCAGATGAGTTTGCAAGAAAAGAGCTTTGAATTTTGATCCGCTGTTGCTAGATTTGGAAAGATTTGAAAGTGGAAGAAGCTTGCCAAGAGTTCTTTGATTCGAAAGCGAAGGAGTGGTACTTTGATCAGCTCCAAAAGCTTGCAGACCGATTCGATTGTTCGATTGTTCATGAGCAGGTGTTGTACCAATCTTGATTTTGAATTCCAGATGAGTTTGCAAGAAAAGAGCTTTGAATTTTGATCCACTATTGCGAGAAATGGAAACATTTGAAAGTTGAAGAAGCTTGCCAAGAGTTCTTTGATTCGAAACCGAGGTACTCCGATCTCCGACTCCTTGGTCATTGGTACTCCGATCATTGGTACTCCGATCAGCTCCGAAAGCTTGCAGACCGATTCGATTGTTCGATTGTTCATGAGCATCAAGTTATCTACAGGATGATCGAAAAGTCCTCGCACACTTGTAAATATTGGCTTGGTGAATTGAAAACTGCGGGACTTTGAACCGAAATCTATTCAACAGAAAGTCGTAGATGATGAAGAGTTATATGGTGACTTGCAGGCCGAATTGGACACTGAGCCTTTCTCAAGCACTCGAGATTTGATTCGAAAGGAGTGGTACTTGGTTCAGATCCGAAAGCTTGGAGATCAAAAGCAGAAAGTCGTAGATAATGATTGGTCATATGGTGATTTGCAAGCCGAATTGAACACTGAGCTTTTCTCAAGCACTCGAGATTTGATTCGAAACCGATGGAGTGGTACTTCAATCAGATCCGAAAGCTTGCAGATCGCTGACAGAAATTCGTAGATAATGATTGGTTATACTTTGAGAAATAATTGTTGTTATTTTTGTTATTAAAGTGCGCATAAAAATTGAATTTTTCGCAGCTGAGTCAGGACTTTTTTTCCTCAACGTAGTAACAGGCAATGTTACATCCAACCAAGTAACCACAGTTTTTTTTATACAATTGATTACTCAATTAATTTTTAAACTTAAATATTTACAAACTATTGTCTCTTCCTTTTTTTACTTCATTTTCTGATTTGCGTGAGCCAAAATTCAATCAGCACGTGGCCAACCAAAAATTAATTGAGTTTTTCTGATTGCAATGATTATTCCAGGAAAAGCAGCTGTTTCCGTTTTTGGTTTTTTTTCAGAGTCCAATGTTTTTTACTCAGCTAACACTATCAGCTTTTCTATGAAATGTATCATCCAACTGATCTACAAAGAAGTTTTCTCAACGGTTTTTATCAAGTGTCATGGTTTGGTGCCGTTTTTGGTTTGTTGAATTTGATTTTAGTCTCGCTACAATGGTGCTTTTCTTTGTGACAATGTATATGTTGATTTATGAGAAGTCACATGCAACAAAGATCCATAAGATCTACATGATCAATATAACGGTTAGTTCCGCCAAGCAAACGGGTATTCGTTAGGATTTTTGTTTGAGTTCTGGCTTCAACGGAAACGCCTCCTCACGGTTTTTTTTTTAATTTTTGTAGCTAAGATTTAAGTTAATGCTAATTGATTCAACTTCAATATCAATGCACTTTTCTAAAGCTTTAAGTTTACATTCCTAAAACAAAGTTTGTATGCTTCAAAAGAGCTAATTTTAATCCACAACGACAGAGAATTATGAGGTTAGTGAATTGAAAACTGCGGCACTTTGAACTGAAATTAATTCAACATAAAACCATCAATTCATTCCAAATAATTTCCATTATTATTGACGACTTCTGCCCATTTTACAGGCAATTTGCGGATTCCTCTTTCGTAGTAGGATTTTAGTTTGTGTGTGAGACAAGTGTGAGTCTCAAAAATCGAGGACTGGAGATGTCAGCTGTCAGCCTTAAAAAAATTGGATGCTGAAGTAAACAATACAATATGGTCTCTTTGCTGGTCTTCTTGCATCCTGCTCGAATCAAGCGCCTGTTGACGCTCCATCGAAAATAGCTTTGTTCTAAATGGCCTTCAACTTCTTGATTCCATGGCCTGAAGCCAAATCTTCCATGGCCCGATTTGGGTCGATTCTATGGTCCCTGATGATTACTCGTTCTTCGTTTCTTGTTGTAATCGCTAAACGACCACTTTTCAAAGCTCTATGAAGACTTTCGCCTGCTTCTGATTTTGACTAATCGATTTTTGACTAATCTGTCCCTTCATCTAATTCACTGTCCTTTCATCGCATTTGAAGAGCGTTGCGTTAGACGTTTTTTTTTGCGTTAGACGGCGTATAACGTTGTCCAATTGGTCTTCTGATTAAATGGTTACCGCCTGGGTAGTATAAATTAATTCTAGTCTCATCGGTGAAAATGGCTCGGGCCCAGTGATCGGAAGTCCAACACTCGTAGTTCTTTGCAAAATCATATCTCAGCTTCCGAGTTTTTGCAATGGTCAAAGGTCGTTTTGCTGGTTTTCTTGCATGCAATCCTGCTCGAATCAAGCGACGGTTGATGCTCCATCGAGAAATATTTTTGTTAGACATGGCCTTCAACTTCATGATTCCAAGGCTCGAAGTCAGATTCGGGTCGATTCTATGGTCAATGATAAGTGCTCGATCTTCAGTTTTTGTTGTAATCGGTGGACGGCCACTTTTCGAAGCTCTATGAAGACTTTGGCCCGCTTCCGATTTTGCTGCTAGCCGATTCACCGTCCTTTTATTGCATTTGAAGAGCATCGCAATAGACGGTGATGAATATCCATCTTTCTTGGCTTGCACAATCTTCTGCTTATCAGGAGTTGACAGATATTTGCAAGCCGACATCTAAAAATAAAAATAATACAAAAAAATGCATTTGAACAAAGAAAAGCAGAGAAAAAATAAGAATTTTCTTAATGGGACAAGACTTTTGCATGACATTGTATTGGATTGGTGAATTGAAAACTGGTGAATCCTCTTCATATATCTTTTTAATATTAGCAGCTGCCAAGCCTGCACGGTGCTCTTGTAGGAACTCATGCAGCACATGACGAATATGTCCCGGTGGCAGATTGTCGAGTGCAATAGAAGCAGTGAAAAAAAATACCAAAAAATAAAAAGCTGGAAGCACAATTTTTTCGCAATAATTTGAGGAAATGTTGAAGTAACCAAACCGCCTTTCAGCTGGTTCAATGTTGTTGTTTTTTTATCTGCGAGTCCCGCGAAATAGCCGGCAGCTTTCAATTCACCAATCCAATATTTTTGCCTGTATTAAAATAAATTATTGCTAAACAACAAGACAACAATTTGTGGTGTTGTTTGGCCAGTTTAGACAACAAAGTACAAATCAATCACATTACAGATCTCATCTCAACTATGTGACATCTTCGCCGGTCTCTGCCAGGTGATTGTCATGATACCAAATGGGGCACTTTACAGCATTACGAGATGGGCAATGCCACCACAAGTTGTACTGGTTTTGTTGGTACGTGTCTAAACTAGTTTGGGTATCGTCTTAAACTAAAACTAGTGGTAATTAACCACAGTGACCACAATTGCTTTGATATAGACTTGTTCAGTTCATCTTCTTGTTACTCGTCAACAATCTGGGCATGACTTTGGAGTTTTCAGCAATTCATAAAGGTTTGTAGTTAAATGCTTAATCAACCAAGTAGTTAAAGGGGGGTATTAATCGCGGTCGGGTGACGGCAACCACCTGTTTGCCATTTTTTTTACGGCAACCACCCGTTGTTTTATTTTAATATCGCTGATTTTATTATAAGAAGAATAAAAATCACCCGGCTAGAGTAATTTGATGGGTTTACAAATTTTTGGAGACACTGCAAGGCTTGGAGAAAAACAAGATCGTCACTCATCAGACGCCTCAGCTAAAAGGCACCTATTTGAGAAAACTAAAACCACAAGCGACCACAAATGGAAAAAGGATCTAATTGTGTCAATCAAAGCGCTGAAGACGTCCTACGGTGGAGGAGATCCAGTCACTTCTGGTGAAGATGCGCTGGAAATTGATAAGATAGGAAGCCGATTTGAGGAACTGCTGTACTTGATCTCCTCCACCGTAGTGAGCATGAAAGTGAGCAAGAGGAAGAATTATAGATTAACAATTTATTTTTATTGTTTTTTGTGCTTTTTATTTTGTTTTTAAATTTATCTGCAATTAAAATTCAATCGATCTAGACTGCGCTGAGGTGTTTGAGTTTTCTCTTTTTAGTTTTTAGTTTTCTCAAATAGGTGCCTTTTAGCTGAGGTGTCTGATGAGTGACGATCTTGTTTTTCTCCAAGCCTTGCAGTGTCTCCAAAAATTTGTAAACCCATCAAATCACTCTAGCCGGGTGATTTTTATTCTTTTTATAATAAAATCAGCGATATTAAAATAAAAAAACAGGTGGTTGCCGTAAAAAAATTTTTATCGTCATCCGGCCGCGATTAATACCCCCCTTTAAATGATTAGTAACCAAGTATTGGGTTGTCCAGTTATGAATGCGCGTTTTTTACTATTTTATAAATTTCTCAAGATACCGAAATCAAGAAAAAGATATATATGAGTATTATTCGAAAGCTGAAGATCTCCTCTACATTTTGATATAAAAAGTTTTTGAATTTGTTCAGCTTTTGGGCAAATTGACTGCACAGAAGAAGAGGTGGCCAAAAAATGGAAGGGTGCCTTTGGATCAAGTTTTGTCTCCGCTCAAATTGAGTTAACCGTTTGATGTTTGGCCAATAGATATATCAATACAACATTTTTTTAAATATAACAATTTCAGAGCATCTTTTCTTTTCTGGGCGGTTATTTTACACCATAAAACTTGAGGAATAGCTAAGCTGGAATCGGTTTTTTCGAAAACGACCTCTCCATTTGTGCAGTCAATTTCCCAAAAAGTTGCATGAATTCAAAAAATTTTTTATTCCAAAATGTAGAGGAGATCTTCAGCTTTCGAATGATATATAACACTCATATACATCTGTTCGATATCTTCAAAAATTTACAAAATAGTAAAAACGCGCATTCATAACTGGACAACCCAATAGTTAAATGATTAGTAACCAAGTAGTTAAATGATTAATCAACCAAACTTTAGTAAAACTAACCACAATTCCAAACGGAAAACTCGCTTTCTATCTCTACATCAAAGGAATTGTGGTCAGTGTGGCTAATATTATTGGAATCTTTTTTGTCATCGGATCTTCATTGTACTATCAAGAAATTTGCATGGGAACTTATCAACAGTGTCAGGTAAATCAAATAAATACTTAATCTAATAATTATTTTTCGTTCGGAATCTAAAATCAGCGTGTTTGGGTTTTAGTTTGTCTAATAAACCTAAAAACTCTGAAACTATGTACTAGGTTGGTGCCTAAGTCTTTACCATTTTTTTCGAAGCCTCTTTTAAAAATAATACCGCCACCAACAAGTTTCCATTTGAACTATTGAAAAGATTAATTGTTTCTCTGTAAAATGGCTTTTGGGAAATTCTTGGAAATAGTTGTTTTTCTGGATTTTCAAAGGCGTAAAGGTGAGAACTCAAAACTGCTCCGATGCCGAATGACTGCTCGGATGCCAATTTGAACACTTTCTTCAATACAAACCTATTTTGGTGCCAAAGTAAAAAAGATAGAGCTTATTTGATTACATAAGTCTGCAAAATTTGAAAGCGATCCGTTTAACCATTTTCTTCAAAACAACAATTGAAAATTGTATAAAATGAGCTTTTACGGAGTTGAGCCTTTACAGACTTATGTAATCAAATCAGCTCTATCTTTTTGAGCTTTCTTTCAAAAGCCATTTTGTAGAGAAATGATAATAGAATGATAATATAAATGATCTTTTTAATAGTTTAAACAAATTTGATAAAGAATTCTTTTTTATAAAACCAAAAATTTGAAAAAAATTGAAAAAAATGGTAAAGACTTATGCCCCAACCTAATAGTTGTTTATCTGTGGTTTGAAAGTGTTTTTAGAGCTTCTTCTCAACCCCAGTCCCTATTGAATTCCAAAATGAGACGTCAATCCTCGTATTTCGTTGGAATCAGATCACAATCTACGGTGTTCTCTATGCTGGCCTTATCTTGATCATTTGTGGTATTTCCTTTTCATTTCTCACTTATCTTGTCATTGCTCAAACAAATAATTTGATAAAACGACGATATGCAAGTCAGGAGACAATCGAGATGCAACGATACTTTTTGCTTATTTTTTTGTTACAGGTTTGGGTTTGAATGATTAGGAGTAGAATACGATTGGGTTGGTGAATTAAAAACTGCGGGACTTTGAACTAAAATTTATTCAACATAAAACCATCAATTCATTCCAAATAATTCCCATTATTATTGACGACTTCTGCCCATTTCACAGGCAATTTGCAGATTCCTCTTTCGTAATAGGATTTTGGTTTGTGTGTGAGACAAGTGTGAGACACAAAAATGGAGGACTAGAGATGTCAGCTGTCAGGGCAGTTTGAGCACCTTCTTCAAAAGAAACCCATTTTGGTGTCAATAGAAAAGTTGTAGAGAATCAAAAATTGGGCTTATAGCCAAATTTCCAAAAGAATACACTTAGTAGTTTCCCTTACGATGCAAGTTCTGTGAAAATTCGTAAATTTGTAGTCCCCTACATGAGTGAAAATTTCTCAAATTTCGCAAATTTATATTTTCAAATTTTCCATTCGAATTTAGTTAGTATTGCAGGATTCTAAATTAACTCAGCAAAAGGCTCATTCAGTTCATTTTGAGCTCTTCTTATAGGAACATTACAGTGAAACACACGATAGAGACGGCGACTTCAAGCCTCTAAAGTCGCGGGTCTAAAACGCATTTTTCCAAGCTCCCACTATGAAATTCGTGATCTACGCAAAAAAACTACCCCAGTCATTTAAATCTAAGCATTCAATTGCTTAACTTTAGCTTCAAAGCCAACAATTCAAATACCCAGAGCTCATTTACAACTTTTCAGGCACTCGACGTGTTCATTTGCATCATTCTACCCTGCGCATTGCTGGCTCTAGCAATTCTTGGTTTCAATTTTCTCCCGGAGTCATGTAATTTCAGAAATTCACTTCTAATCATTTTTCTATTTCAGTGATTTCTTCACCATCGATCTTTTTGTATTTGCATTCTGCATCGAATTCTGTAATCTTGATTTTATCGACTGAATCCTATCGAAATACCGTCAAGAGGTGGTTCTCGAACTTGACAATCGGGACGTGCAATTGGTCATGTAAAAGACGAAAAAGTTGGTTTAAGTTTTAAGTTTTAAAAACATTTTCGAAACTTACAAACATTCGAAGGTCAAAAAGCTATTTTTTCGTTGTTTCTCCAATTCAAGTCAATTACAATACGGTTCCTATTTTGATCCAATACGGTTCCAATACGGTTCCTTTTTTGATCTAATACGGTTCCAATACGGTTCCTTTTTTGATCTAATACTGTTCCAATACGGTTCCTCTTTTGATCTAATACGGTTCCAATACGGTTCCTCTTTTGATCTAATACGGTTCCAATACCGTTCCGATACGGTTCCAATACGGTTCCTATTTTGATCCAAATTCCTACATTTGAATAAAGCTATTTAAATCTAATAAAGACTTAAAGTGATCTTAAAGTTAAACTTTTACGAAAAGCTCAGATGGGATCCTCGTTGCTTGGCCTCTCAGCTCCACACCTCATCAAAATGAATCAACGAATGGCTAGAATAAAGTTTTTATTAAATATGCTGCGTCCATTTACGAACTAAACTAAACTCTAAAAAGGACGTCCGACTCTGATCTGGACGTTCGGATCGGTTTCGGACGTCCGTTTACGAATTAAAATTGCAACTTTAGGAATTTTAGATTGATTTTTCGGCTGTTTTCATAATTTTCACTCAGAAACCTTTTTGACTATCTGATCGATTTTTCAATTTGAAATCAACTGTCACTCCTTGATAAGCATTTAGCCAATTTTTTATGTAATATTAATAATTAATTATTTAATATGCAACCTTTATTAAGAAAGTGTTCAAAATTCAAATAATAAAAACCAAAATCGCATTAATAAACCAAAACGCCTATATATAAACATATACAAATATATATTGTGTCCGATTTAGATTTCCGTCCGTTTTAGATTCAATCTAAATCTTATATAGATTGAACAATAATATAAACATGCTTAATATATGTTCTTAAGCGTTTTTTTTGCAATTTTCTGAATTTTTCAAAAAAATGCAGAAAACTACAGAAAACGCTTAAGAACATATATTAAGCATGTTTATATTATTGTTCAATCTATATAAGACGTATTATTGTTCAATCTATATAAGATTTAGATTGAATCTAAATCGGACGGAAATCTAAATCGGACACAACATATAAATATCTAAACGGAGCCAGAAAAATCCGACGTTAGGCGGGTTTTTCTGGCTGATGTATCATAAACAAACACTCTACTTCATCATTGCAGACGCTCAGACGTAAGCGTCCACCGATCTCTTTCACCTTGAGAGATACGAGAATTTAAATTTTAATTACTTTTGTGAACCGCTGGATGTATACCTAGCTATTTTAACACACTCACGACTATACGACCCACCGGTGGGCCATACTAATGAATATTTTGGCGTCAACTCAAGTTTTTAAGGACGTTTGCTATTCATTTTGGTAACTTTTACTAGTTTTCAAGAAGAGATTCACGGCTATCAAATGATCTATAATAGCTTAGTTTATCTTTGAATACTCATCCATAAGTATTACTTAGAGCTTGCCTTAAAGAGATGGGCTGTTTATAGAAAATGTAGATCGCTGAAGAAGGTGAGCCATAATCCATTGATTAAAATAATAGAATCTTAATTTCCATTGATTTACAAAAAGATCAAAAAATCATTCCGTTGCCGGGAATCGAACCCGGGCCTTATGGGTGAGAGCCATAAATCCTAACCACTAGACCACAACGGATGTGTCCAGCGAGGAACAAAATTGGCTCTTTGGTTTATTTGTGAACAAATTTGACAGCTTTGATAAGGCTTTTCAATCTTAAAACAATCGTTGATTGACAGCTTTTTAGCAAGATGTTTTGATACGAGCGAGGGTAGGGAAACTTATGAAGTCGAAAATAGAGGTTTTGAAGTAAAGGACAAAGCAAAAAGAAGTAAATTTACTGTTTTTGGATATAAATTCTAGTTTTTTTTAGGTGATACAGCACGGAATCCGAGAGAACAACCTCTACCCAACCCGTAGTCTTTCATAGGTTTATAAAATAGTTTTAATTCATTGGAGAACGTGTATAACTTCTAAGACTGTATTTTTAGTGTAATCTTATTCAAACTTTAGAAGATTTGGCCTATTACTTCGTTTAAAAGCACTATAATCACTGAGAATAGTGTAATCTTATTCAACTCGACGAAGGTATTGCCTATTACTTCGTTGAAAAGCACTACAATACCGTCTACTCTCTTTAGTAAGACTGTTCACCTCAACCATAATTTTCATTGATTAACATAATAGAATCTTAATTTCCATTGATTTACAAAAAGATCAAAAAATCATTCCGTTGCCGGGAATCGAACCCGGGCCTTATGGGTGAGAGCCATAAATCCTAACCACTAGACCACAACGGACCTGTTCAAGGACGAACAAAATCGGCTCTTTGATTCCTTTGTGAACTAATTTGACAGCTTTGATAAGGCAGCTTTTCAATCTTAAAACAATCGTTGATTGACAGCTTTTTAGCAAGATGTTTTGATACGAGCGAGGTCCTCAATGTCCTCTAAATTGAAACAATGATAAATATGAAAACGTGGAATCCAACTAAAATGCGCAAAATTATGCTTGATCAACAATCACGTAAAATTTATTTTTTGACAAGGCTAAAAATGCCTGAAGTTTCATTAATATCAAATTAACATTTAAGTTTGATTCGTACGTCCAAAACGGAGCTAAGAATAAATTTGATTTGTAAACAGAGGTCCAAAACAGAGCTAAGAATAAGTTTGATTCGTAAACGGACGTCCAAAACGAAGCTAAGAATAAGTTTGATTCGTGAACGGACGTCCAAAACGAATCCAAGAATAAGTTTGATTTGTAAACGGAGGTCCAAAACGGATTCAAGGATAAGTTTAGTTCGTAAACGAACGCAACATTTATATTGTTTACTAAAAAGTGTAAAAATGTTCATCAATATCAGATCAATAAAATTTTCTTTAAAAGAATTTGAAGTATTTTACTTTATCCTAAAGTTGAAACACTGATGACTGAAAGTCTGGTAGACTAGTTTTTTTAAAACTAAGCTAAAAAAGCCTCTCGATAAAATCATTTCTTCTAAAAAGACATTCCTAGTAACATGAAAAATCGATTAGTCAAATGGTAAGTGAAAAAAAAATCACTGCTAGTGAATGAATAATAAAAAATGATAGATAAAACTTGCCTTAAAAGCTAGTGGTTGTTTGTAAAAAACAGCTTTTAACTAGCTAGCTAAAATGAAAGATGAATGAATTAAGCTAGATAGCTAGCTAAAATGAATGAATGAAATGAATTTCACTGGAGTCACCGATTTCAGTGATTTCAGTCCAGGGTGAACAAGAAGTCCAGGGAGTCCAGGGTGACCAAGAGTCCAGGGTGACCAAGAAATCCAGGGAGTCCAGGGTGACCAAGGAATCCAGGGAGTCCAGGGTGACCAAGAATCACCGCAACACACAAAAGGCCTAGCTTTTAACCAAATATGCAAACCATCTCGGAAAATTAACTTAAACTATTTTTACTTAATTTTTACTTAAAGGGGGGTATTAATCGCGGCCAGGTGACGATAAACATTTTTTTACGGCAACAACCTGTTTTTTTGTTTTAATATCGCTGATTTTATTATAAAAAGAATAAAAATCACCCGGCTAGAGTGATTTGATGGGTTTACAAATTTTTGGAGACACTGCAAGGCTTGGAGAAAAACAAGATCGTCACTCATCAGCACAGTCTAGATCGATTGAGTTTTAATTGCAGATAAATTTAAAAACAAAATGAAAAGCACAAAAAGCAATAAAAATAAATTGTTAATCTATAATTCTTCCTCTTGCTCACTTTCATCTTCGCTCAAGTACAGCAGTTCGGCTCAAGTACAGCGGTACAAATCGGCTTCCTATCTTATCAATTTCCAGCGCATCTTCACCAAAAGTGACTGGATCTTCTCCATCGTAGGACGTCTTCAGCGCTTTGATTGACACAATTCGATCTTTTTTCATTTGTGGTTGCTTATGGTTTTAGTTTTCTCAAATAGGTGCCTTTTAGCTGAGGTGTCTGATGAGTGACGATCTTGTTTTTCTCCAAGCCTTGCAGTGTCTCCAAAAATTTGCAAACCCATCAAATCACTCTAGCCGGGTGATTTTTATTCTTTTTATAATAAAATCAGCGATATTAAAATAAAAAAACAGGTGGTTGCCGTAAAAAATTTTTTATCGTCACCCGGCCGCGATTAATACCCCCCCTTTAATATTTTATTAAATTAAATAACTAAAATATCTTTATTCAACATATAACAGTAACATTAACAATTAAATTCAAATTTGCCTCCATCGGCGTTCAGAAAGGCTTGCAAACGTTTGGGAAAAATTCGTGTACATTCGACGAAACCGTTTCAACCGGTAATTCAGTAGATTAATAAGTTTTAAAACAGATCTAAAATAATTTCCACGGATTAGCTTCCATAATAGAATCTTAATTTCCATTGATTTACAAAAAGAGCAAAAACTTATTCCGTTGCCGGGAATCGAACCCGGGCCTTATGGGTGAGAGCCATAAATCCTAACCACTAGACCACAACGGATGTGTCCAAGGACGAACAAAATTGGCTCTTTGGTTTATTTGTGAACAAATTTGACAGCTTTGATAAGGCTTTTCAATCTTAAAACAATCGTTGATTGACAGCTTTTTAGCAAGATGTTTTGATACGAGCAAGGGTAGGGAAACTTATGAAGTCGAAAACAGAGGTTTTGAAGTAAAGGACAAAGAAAAAAGAAGTAAACTTACTGTATTTGGATATAAATTCTAGTCTTTTTTAGGTGATACAGCACGGAATCCGAGAGAACAACCTCTACCCAACCCGTAGTCTTTCATAGGTTTATAAAATGGCTTTAATTCATTAGATAACGTGTATAACTTCTAAAACTGTATTTTTAGTGTAATTTTATTCAAATTTTAGAAGATTTGGCCTATTACTTCGTCTAAAAGCACTACAATACTGTCTACTCTCTTTAGTACCTTTCAGATGGAAAGGTTTGTAAATTGAGAACCAAAAGTTGCAGTTTAAGGTAAGTTTGTTTCTCAAAACTAAAGTCATAAAATAAAAAAAAAACAAGTTTTACATTAATCTACTTGTAATGTTCAGCTTTCATCCCCCAAGAAAAGTAATCTTTTTCCCTTTTATCCCCTCTATCCTTTTATCCTAAAATTGTATCTATATACTTTGATTTCCTTGTTCTTTAATAGTTATAACTTCTTCAATTTTTACTTTTAAAATTTGTACTTCTTTACTTTCTTTACTTTCTTTGCTTTCTTTGTTTTCTTTACTTTCTATACTTTCTTTACTTTCTTTACTTTCTATACTTTCTATACTTTCTATACTTTCTTTACTTTCTTTACTTTCTATACTTTCTATACTTTCTTTGCTTTCTATACTTTCTTTACTTTCTTTGCTTTTTATACTTTCTTTGCTTTCAGTTTATT